ACAGTAAGTGTATGAAGTAATCATACCCTGATCATTCATTCATACAGTATCTCCCAGTCAGCTCTCTAGTAAATCGCCATTATCTACTAAATACTCCTCCATTCAGAGTTAATAATGATTCATGGATTATTATTATTCCTCACACGTTTCTTAGCAACCACTCTCAGTTCTGTGTATAGACCTTTTTCACGGCTGAGTTTTGGGACTGGCATTACTGCCATCACCTGTGTTACCGTCCCCAACTCTCCAGGGTTGGACTGAGACCGATGAGGGTCTGGATGAACCTCACTGGACCACCCCGGCAGAGGCATCCAAAGCCTGCAATGAGCTTGTAGCACGCAAGTGTATTAAAGGTTGTGTTCAGAGCTGCAAGTGCAAAGTACCATAACATTTGCATAGCTGTGTCTGTGTGAAAGGGAGTGTGACAAAGATTACACAAAGTTACTGGTTTTTAATTTACCTCAGTATGATACTGAAGCCTGACCACTGTTTTCTATACTATAGGACTATATATACATGTGTTTAAAATAAAAATATCAAAGATGCACTGATGCAAGTATCAAGAACCAGTCTGATACTGAGCTGTACTTGTACTTGTAATCTTGTATAAAACTACTCCGATAATCTCTCGTTAGCTGCGCAGGTAGGCCGAGGAGAAACAATTTAAAGCAACAACGTTACTGATATTTAATTTGTTGCAGTCAATGTGAGGAATACATGGTGAGTATAAAAACATCTTTTTTAAGTCACTGTTAGAACTGCAATGGTATTATTTAGTACTCATATCGGTACTTTGCATCGGCAAGAACCCAAATGTAAGTACTTGTACTTGGTTGGAAACAAGTGGTATTGGTGCATCCCTAAATAATATATATGAATATAAAAAGTTCTGATCTCTGTCAGTTGTGACGCTAAAGAGAAATGCATCGATGGAAAGATCTTGCCATTGTGTAGTCAATTGTCATTCTAGCCTGCAGGCAAGGGAGACATTTGACCCTGAGGTGACAGTGCACCTTTTAATTTTAATGTTTTTCTCAGGTTAAGCTTTTAAAAAGTGTCCTTAGACAAATAAATACATCTAATCTAATGAGCTGGAACACACCTTGGCATCTATAAAAGTCATAAAATCAGTCTTTGCAACATTTCAGAATATACTTCATGTATTCGGGGGCCATTTTGAAAGAGGATGAATTTGCAACGCTCTGATATCATAACTTATAAACCCACATCTGTGTTAAATGTTTGCTTTAATCGCAAAATGCACTATTGTTATGAATATTTCCGTCTGCCTGCCCCACTATACAGTTACCAGTAATTGATAGAGCTTGAATATTTAAATGTTTATTTGGTGAAAATGATTGTACATCACACACACACACACACACACACACACACACACACACCACAGTTAAGTCTGGATATGATGGTTTTTCCCAGTGTCGCTGAGAATCTGCAGGACCTTCGTCCAAAGTCGTCGTAAGTTTCAAGCTTCATGTACATAACATAATTTAATTATTGCTGTAATGTGCTGGGATCAGAGGAGAAAGATGTTTACTTAAGTAAAAGTAGTGCCTACTCATTATGCAGAATGCTCCATTTCAGATTAATGTATAATATTGGATTATAACCATTAACGCATTAATGAGGACATCACCTTAATGTTGCAAATGGTAAAGATGGGGCTCATTTTATCTTAATCTATTATATATATTACAGATTGATATATTCTGTATTATCTGTAAATAATCTTGTGAACGCTCATGTGTGCCTGCCGGCCCCCCGCCGCCCCACTGCTTCCTGTCCTGTCATTGCAGATTAGGTCTGTCCTCTTGCATCAGTTATTTCAGTAAACACCTCCAAACAACACCTTTAAGTTCAGCTGCCAGCGGCCCCTAGTGGTTTTCGTGATTATGATGCGGGGAAGTCTCCTATAATGGGGGAGGTGGCAGCAAAGGTCAACAAAACATCAAAGACCACTCTCCATATCCTGTTTCCTGCCACCAGTCAACACACCACCACCATCGTCACTAACCGTAATAGGGTGATAAAAGTAACCATGATGACGAAGCTCCCGTAACCTTAAAACCTCTACATGGTACTTCCCTTAGGTGTTGATTCTGGTGCCCCCTGTGGACAAAAGCAGCAGTGTTTCTACCAGATTGTTTTCATTGTTTTTTTGCAGTTTTTTATCCATTTTATCAAAAAATATTTTCAGTGCTGTTTTCCTTTAGTTGTTCAAGAGTTCTTCATCAGCACTCCTGTACGCAAGGTTTTAGAAATACTGAGGTCCAAAGACTTGCTAGAGGGCTTAAGGGCTATGCATCAAAGCATCAAAGTTAAGTTACTTTTAGCAATTATTTCACAACTTTTACTGAGTACTTTGTAACCTCAGAGGCCCCAGTGACCATGCTCACCACTGGTACTCATGTGGACCAAAAATACCAGGGAGGACCGATCAATTTCACAGAACCAGAATCGTCATCCTTGTGACTTCAGAAAACACTTAATATGTACTTTAATTTGGAGGACTATAACAGTTCATTCACAATTCCTGTAAACTACTTGTGTCTTCTAGTCTTTCGGCTGCTTTCCGTCCATAGGGGTCACTCCATAGTGGCGATGATCTGCGTATTCAATGTTGCATCTGCTTTTTATGCCAAATCCCCCTCCTGACACAACTGTCCCCATTCATCCTGGCTTTGGAGCAGCAATAAACAATGCGCTCAGCTGATGCTGCAATATGTTGTACTCAAAAAAAACTGCTTAAGACACAGAAAAGTGCAATGCAACGTTCATTCAAGTCGGAATTTTTAAGTAGGGAAGATGATGGCACACAAAGAGAATAGAAAGCAGAATTACCTTCTCATTAAACTTTTACTGAGTCCTCTGTTCCTTTTGTTCACTGGGATGTGTTCAGATCAGAAGTCGTGATACCCACTCAGAAATTATCAACCTCCGCCTTGTAATGCATTGCAGCACAAGTCCTTCTGCTCTATTGGTTGTGGTAGATTTGAAGGCATAGTTGCCTCATTTAATTGGTCCATGGAAAACGCTGGATCTGCTGGGTCCATTTTGGCTTGTATGCATGAGAAAATCAGGAACAGGAAATCTGGTCCAGGTGGCTGGAAGACAATGTAATGACCTGGCAAAGGGAAGAGAGGGCAAGTGAGCTGCTTATAAAGACTGATGAGGAAGAATGGCACGTTCTTGGAAATGCCTGTAATTTTACCATATTTGACGCCTTTATTAGCCGGAGAGGGAAGACAGACGACTGAAAACTAAACAGAGAGATGCAAGAAGGTCCCTGCCAGATATGTTTTCACAGGAATGTAATGGCTGCCACGATAACTTATAAACTTACTTTTTCTTTCCAGTTGAACTACATGTTTGGGGCGCACAGGAAGGATCAGGGAGGATGTACAAAGTTCAGGGGCCAGACTGTGCGTACAGAAATAAGCAGACGTCAATGAAAGGACCAACAGAGAATAAAATGAAAACATTTAAGCTGATCTTAATCAAGCTGATCACACAAAAGTAAATCATCACAATGAAGTTTGATTGACAGTTCACAGACGAGTGTGTAGACTGCAAAGTTGGTGTGAAGCAGTGAGAGCTGCACACTTCCTCTTTTTTTATAAATACCACTTGTGAGAAGTGGGTGTGAATGATGCTTGTGCCTTCACATTGTTCATATATGTGGGCCCTGGACTCTGACAGACCAGGTTCACATCCTGCCTGTGCTCTTTGTTTTTGTTTGTTATGTCCTTGTCTTTTTGCTATGTGCTCCAATAGCAGTTGAGCAAGCCTGGGTCAACATCCTCCTTTTCTGTACTTAGATATGCTACGTGCTAGGCTAATCTATGTTGAAAAGACAAACGCATTTTGAAGATGGTTCAAAGAGAGACATTTATATATAGTCATGCCTGAACCAGATTTTGTGACCATCCATTTAATAGTTGTTGAGATATTTCAGTCTGGAACACAGCGGTGGACGGACAGACTGTCCATTAGCAGCTCAAAACTAATACACAGATTTTTACGCTGAAAAAGTTATAAACAAAATAAAAATCTGTTTCTGTCTCTTCCAGCCTCTGTGGTCGTCTCTCCCAGCAAGTCTCAACATTTCAATTATGAGAAGATCTCTGTGAGCTGTGAGCAGTTTGGCCCTGGTGAATGGAACGTGTGGCGATACACAAGGTGCAGTTTTTGGGTTTCACTCTGTCACCAATAAACCTGGCACACTTTAGATTCCTGACGATCGTTCTCCAAATCCTGGTTTGTAGGCTTTACATTTAGTATGCTCTCAGTCATTCAAACTGACGCATCAAAGCCCCAACATTCCTCGGACGCTGGACTGCAACTTTAAGATTGATCACTTTAACAAGCAAGAAACCAATGTGTGTGTCTGATTCTTTTTTTGATGATATGACTAACATTGGATTGTCTCTTCAGGTTTAATTCAAACAGTTCAATTAACTGTGATGATGTGTTCACAGTTTGGAAAAATTTATGTCGCAGTGTGGGTCCGGCTGGGGCTTCGCCACTTTCTCTGCCTGCGAGATTAAGACGGCGAAAACACCCGACAGTGGCGTGTACTGGTGTGAATCTAAAAACGGAGACAGCAGCAATGGCATAAACATCACTGTCACTGGTAAGATCCATAAAATTACATTACACTGTGCCTGCCTACTTCCTCTTCCACTTCCTGTTTCAGCACATGTATTGAGCTGACCACAGATTTGACATCTCATTCAATATGATATATCAGTCAGTGCTAGTTATTAAATAAAACAAACTATTACAACATGTGGAGTCGACATAGGCATAGTCCAAAACATATCTGCCGTTGACTGACACAACATTTCAGTGATTCACATAAATTGTTTTAAGGGGAACTGATGACAATAAAAGGAAGTGAATCGGGGTTTGTATGATGATTCAGCTCGGTGGAGGTGCAATTATCATGACAAAGGCCGTTACCAAAGAAACACAAACTGCCAACACAAAGCCTTTCCTGTGTCTGTGACATATGGCATATTAACATTCACATTACAAGGATGTACACATACTTTAGAATTAATATATCTTAGAATATGCTTATGATGGGGACGCTGTTAGTTTATCCTAAGAGACAAATAATATAAAGAGATTTCTGCCATATTCACTGAAAGACCCAGAGTTTATAGTAGTAGTAGTAGTGTTCTGACAACATACATGCAAAGAAATATGTTAATAAATAAAGAAATGCCTAAATTAAGTGTGGAAGAACAAAACACACTTGATGCTGATGTAGTAATAGTAGAATAACAGAATAAGAAGTCACCAGGTCCTGATGGCTTCCCGATATCATAAAGCATTCCTCAATAAACAAATGTGATCATAGAATCATTTACTAATGAAGAAAACTATCACACTACTCCCCAAACTAGGTAAAGACAAAAAAAATTGTTTTAATATTTAATTTAATTTAATGTGAATCATGCAGGTATATTTAATACAGATTATAAAATATTATTCATGTAGACCAAACTTTTTTAGAGACAGACAAGGTTCTCATAATAAGCATCAACTGTTTCAGATAATTAATGTAACCCAGAAACAATAAGATCCTTTGTTAAAAGCAGCACCCTCCCTGACATTAACCAGCCATTGATCTAACACTCTAGTTGTAGATACATTTTCCAACTTTCTCCATGTTCAGATATCTGTGTGTATATGGATGAAATGCTGTAGTCTGTCTCTGTGTTGAGGTGGACCAGTGATCCTGCAGAGTCCTGTCCTCCCTGTGATGGAGGGAGATGATGTCTCTCTGCACTGTAAAACAAAGAGCCCTCCCTCCAACCTCACAGCTGCTTTCTATAAAGATGGCTCCCTCATCAGGACTGAGCCTACAGGTCACATGACCATCCACCATGTTTCCAGGTCTGATGAAGGCCTCTACAAGTGTCACATTGGCAGTCATGGAGAGTCTCCACCCAGCTGGATCTCTGTCACAGGTGAGTGACAGGAATGTAAGAACAACTA